TTTAAATCCTTCCCACATTTGCAATATTCTAAACAATGTTTCTAAACGCTCTCAAAGAGCGCAGCATGTCATAATCTCTGCTCTCTTTCCCACTGGCTGCTCTCTGCCAGCGCTCTTGGCCACGCCCACTTCTCCGCTGTAGAGCGGAGATGACATGCTGCAGGAGGGAGCTTCTCCCTGCACATGTGGGCTGCACACAGTTGCTGCAGGGGCTACATAATTTTAAATAATTTATATTAAATTAAAATAGCCATGCCAATCTTGTGGCTCATCCATCAATCATCCAATTGTGTGTCATGTCCAATGTTACTTTGAAAAGCTGTGGAAGAGCCAGTCCGCGATAGTCGAACCGCAAAGTAGCGAGGGACTACTGTACTTTGTTTTTCACACTGTTTGGAGTCCAGGTTTTTCTTGGCTCTCTTGTTATATGCACAACGCTGAGTAGCAGATTTGCATAATGCCTGTCTGGTGGCTAATTTGGCGTGGCTCAACGCCAAAACAAATGACTACCTCCAGCTCTGCTGGGTTTGTCAGCTGAACAATCAGAGCAGACTTTATCTTTCAGGGTACGGACCTTAAAGAGATGTGAGCTCAGACAAAGCATTTCAGGTAGAAAGTGACAACAGGTGCTTCAGCAGTATAAAATATTATTTATAACATTTAAACTTGTTCTTGTAAAACTCTTCACAATATAAATTTAGCCTGAATATTTGTATAATACAGCCTATTTAGATGTCCTCTATCTGTCAGGTGGTTTTACCATTTCATCTCTTCACTGCCTTTCTGTCTCGTCTACAAGCCTTGAGTAATGGCCTTAATACTTCCTCCCCCTCTCCACCACCTCTGTCTCTGTTTCTGTGCAGCAGCTGAAGCAGTAATAGTTTTAATTAACAGCCTCAGATGGAACACACCCTGTGTGTAGTTGAGCGGCTGAACGAGAGATAAATTAAAGGAAGCAGAAGGCCTGTTAATATTGGGCAATTTGGAAAAAAGGCCATTTAATTTCGGAGTATATATGGTTCTGACATGCTGCCATTAACAAAATTTAAGTATAAAATGTCTTCAAACCTCAGTTTTCTTTGATTTCTGCTTGTAAATCCAATGTTTGCAAATCCACCGCTTGTGTCTGGACTTTGGTGCAAAAGTTATACCTTTCATCTAGCAAAACATTGCTTCCAAAAATGCTATTTTTTTTGTAAATATGTGTGAATATGTTTTAGTTATCCATAGAGAACCACCACTCACCGCTTGTCAAAGTGAAGATAAAGCGCTGAAAATTAATAACAGAGCATGAAAAGGTTTTATAATGCAGTCGGTGTCCCAGCATTGGTGGAACTTCTCAGCTTTATCTGGGTCCTTCCAGCATCCAGGTTCAATAAGACTCTCAGAGACGCACACAAACACTGACACACGCCGTTAATCATCGCCATGTTCTCAGCCATTCGGGCCTTGCTTTGACGTACAGGATCATTTGTCTCCTGATAGCCCTCGCTGGACGGGAGCAGCATTGCAAAGAGGCAAGATGGTTCCGCTTTTCCTTAAATCAATCAACCTTTATTTATACAGGTTTGCCCCATTGAGCCTCAGAGACTCGTTTACAAGAGAGACCTGAAATACGAGCAATACGTCATACGATGAAAGATGAATCGTTTTAGAGCCCGACTCGGTTTCCAAGTCACGTTTGTGTTTTCATCTTTGATCTTTTTACAAAAAGTTATTTTAAAAACGTTCAAACAGCAACTGAAGACAAAAAGTGAGCAGCCGACCTGAATCCTGATAAACTTTATTAAAACCAAATAATTCTTGTAATAGTTTTGGGCACCGCAGGTCGTCCTCAATGTCCACCTGGACAACGAAACCTGTCCACACCTGGAGGGGAAAGAGGACAACTGACTAAATCCACCAACAGAACGACCAGAACCAGATCACCAGAACCGGATCAGACATTTGGATGTGAAGGTCCAAATACAAGTTTTTGACAGGAAGGACAGAACTCCTGAAAAAGCGATGTTAAAACGATGTTCTTAATTATTGAAAAGTAATATACAGAAAATTACTGTAGCTTAATAAAATAATTAAAAAATCTGTTTGAGACATTTTGAGCAAAATGGTTCAATGTATAATAATAAAAAAAGGTTAAATCGTGTCATCTGGACCAGTTTAAATGAGAAATGTTTCGTCCCCCATCCAGAGGACTTCTTCAGTCTACGGCCTGCCGAACAGAGCTGTCCCATAGGAAGCCTTCACTGCTGTGTTTCAAGCCAGCCTCCTGGTAGAATCTCAGAAATAGACTTTTAACATGAATATGTGTGAAACACACCCGTCCAGAACAATCAATCATCGTGTACAACAATCCAGTGTTTTAGGCCAGATGGCCAACTTGTTCAATGTATAATTCGAGCTTGTCAAAAAATGGAGCATAATGTGTGTATTTGTGTTTCTTAAAGCTAGATATCACATCTGCAACAAATTTCTCTTAATTTTGCCACTTTTGTTCTAAATTTAAACATACCTAACTGTTTTGTTTCAAAAGAAATTAAGATTTGGCTCTAAACACTTTTCCCACTATTGTCTGGATTTCTTTAAAAAGTTATTAATATTGTGATTTTTTTTTTTATCTTTACCTAATAACCTGAGTTAAGCTAGGTGTTTGTTGCCAGCGTGTGCTTAGGTATTTTTATACTCCGTCTTCTTTTCTATAGAAAGAATGTTTAAAAGTCACATCATAAATAAAAGTACAAAAGTAAACATTAATATGAATGACTTTAAAACAAAAAGATGCATTTTCAAGTTGGCCAAATGTGTTTTTTTTCTGCAGTGTAACTACTTTTTACAGCGTTTCGGCCACCCAGATAGAGGCAACTGAACTTGTTGAATCTTTAGGGGCAAGTATTCAATCAGAAGGCTCTGACGAGCCAATAAACACCCGTCATCCAGTGAAACGGCCTCCATTTTACGGTTTGAGCAGTAAACCTCAGAGAGACGAGGGTCTCATTAGGCTGTGTTTGTCAATAACAAGAACTACAGTGTTGCCATGAGAGATGGGTGTTGGGCTGAGTGTGTGTGTGTGTGTTTTACTGTGACTGGTTGACTGACAGTACCATTAGCACCACACACAGATGCCACAGAGCCAGACACTTTGGGACAGAAAGACGATTGATGGGTCTGGGAGGTGTGGCTGTGTGCGAGCGCTCGTCCGTGCCCGTTTGTCAAACTGATGGGCCCGCACTGTCGACTGTGTGCAGCGTGCCGCTCAGACACAAGCAGGAAAATGTAAAACTGCTCATAAATATTTTAGGCGATGCCACCTACAGGCTCTGTGACAGCAGGCTAGAATGGAGAGGGTGTGTGTGTGTGTGTGTTGGGGGGGGGGGGGGTCAGAATAGAGAGTGAGAAATCTGCAGGGATGAAGTGATGAGACAGGGTAGAAAGAGGTTAGAAGGAGGAGACATGGTAAACAACAGGGAGGAGGAGACAGAAACAAAAAAATTAGATGAATTCAAAGCATGCATTAATGCTGGGCCTCCGTCTTATGAATCAAGATCTGATCGTGCTTCATTGTCTTTTCTTTCCTTTTTTTGTATAAAGTCAAGACATAAACTCCCGAGAGGAAGTTTTCTTCAGAAGATTTTTAACCGGTTTTATTTGCAAGGACATATTTTCACAACAAGTATACACGCATGGAGCCCAATCACGAGAATCTGTCACGGACAGTGTGCGAGGCTTGTTTTTATATGCTTATCAGCTCTCGCAGCTCACAGGCAGGCTGATGTCCTTGGACTGCCAGCTGCACATGCAGTATCAAATTACTTTTTCATCCAGGAGCATGAGGAGCTGAGGATGAGGAGTTCCTTTCGCTGGCTCGTAGGCAGTAAACATTCTCAGCCATAGTAGTTAAAAACATCCATAAACCGTGACCATAATTCCTTAACATTACTATTAATTTAATTCAATTCATTTTATTTATATAGCGCCAAATCACAACAAAGTTGTCTCAGGGCACTTTACAGGAACATTCACATACATTCATATACATATTACTTTTTGCTACTTGGGGCTTTTTGCTAGTTTATTGAGTCTTTTACCGTATTTTTCGGATGATAAGGCGCACTTGAAATCTTTTTCATTTTTTTCAAAAATCAATTCCGGTGCGCCTTATGTATTAATTCTGGTTGTGCTTACTGACCTGGAACCGATTTTATGTGTTACACGGCGCTCAAAAATCTGTCAAAATGAACTTGTTTTGCTTCATGCGCCTTACAGTCCGAAAAACACTGTAGTTATATAAACTCAGTTTAATCTTTGTTTTTAGCAAATTTTAGCGAAGTCATTCAACCCTCCACTTTCATATTACAATTTCTTTAGTTGTCATTATTATTGCTTTCAGTTTTTTAGATGTTTTACATGAATAACTATAAAAGTAATTCTGCAAAGTTTTATTGTTTATTATAAAATCTTTGTTTTACAATATATGGATTACTTTATAATGAAACGTACAAAATGGAATTAGTGTAGTTAGTTTTGCTTAAAAGACGGGAACATTTATTGAGGTTTCTGCTTTGTGTCTTCCAGCTTGAGAGTAAAGCAGGTAAAGCGACAGCAGCCCTGTCCTCTACCGAAACCCTGGACCCCGTCGACCTGAAGGTGGCGCTCAAAAAGGAACGTGAGGAACACCAGCACCTCCTTGCTGAGTCCTACGCGGCTGTGATGGACCTAACTAAACAGGTAAACGTGGATAAAAAATATGCAGCTTAGCACAAATTGAGCAAACATTAAAAGTATAAACCAAGAAGTATTAGAGTAAAAAATGCAACCTGTTCATATTGTACATAAATTCAGCAGCAATGGTCAAGCTGCACATTGGCTCTAACTTCTCCCTCATTTTTCTGTTTGCATCTCCCAATTCCTTTGGCTTGGCCTTTGGAACCGATCGATCATTCTGTCGATCAGCTTCAAATCGGAGAGAGGAACTGGAGCAGGGAGAAGCTGGAGCTGCTGGAGAGGTTCAGTCAGGAGAGAGCTCAGTGGGAGCAGAGACTGAGGGAGGCCACCACACAACAGGAGAAGGTACGCCGAGCGGAATGGGAGAAATGTTATCTTTGGATGCTAGGAGGGCAATACCAAATCAGAGAGGCGACTTTGTTCAACGTGTGAAGTGGTACAAATCACCCTGTAAAAAGTACTATGTACTACAGGGGAGTGGGCTGTAATATGAAGTGTAAAAACTCCCTACTTATTAGTTTTTACTCTTAGATTACTGTCTCTGTAGTAGTATGTTCATTGAAGGATTGTTTTGTGGAAAGCGACAATAACTAGAGAAATTGCATTTCCTGCAAAAATGCAGTGTGAATGCTTATTGCTGAAGAACTTGCTGAAAAACAGCTGAAATTTGCTAAAAATACAAATGCTGAATTCCAGATTAAATGAAAGAACAAGCCTTAATTAGCAGAAGAAAGTAGAACAAACAAAGTTTTTATTTGTTTATAATGTTTATTATTTACTGAATAGCACGGTGGCGCAACTGGTAGAGCTGCTGCCTCTCAGCGAGCAGGTCCTTGGTTCAAACCCCGGTCCAGGGGCCGTTCTGGGTGGAGTTTGCATGTTCTCTCCGTGCATGCGTGGGTTTTCTCCGGGTACTCCGGTTTCCTCCCACAGACCAAAAACATGCATGTTAGGCTGATTGGTAACTCTAAATTGTCCCTAGGTGTGAGTGAGAGAGTGAATGATTGTTTGTCTCTATGTGGCCCTGTGATGGACTTGCGACCCGTCCAGGGTGTACCTCGCCCCTCGCACAGTGATTGCTGGACATGGGCACCAGCGACCCCCGTGACCCAAAATGGAATAAGCGGGTAAAGATAATGGATGGATGGATGGATGGATATTTACTGAATTAGGTATAAATTAGCCAAAATGAGCACAAAAATTAGGAAATTAGCTAAATAAAGCTAAAATGAGCACAAAAAAGCTTAAAAGTAGCTGAAAAGGCAGAAAGAAGCTTAAGCGACCAGACGGTATCAAAAAAGCTATAAAAAATGTGGAATTAGCTGAAAATTACCATAAAAATAGCTAAATAGTAGCTGAAATAGCAGAAAAGGATGAAACTAGCAGAAACAAACTAAAAGGAGCATAATAAGCTGAAATTGCCATAAAGACATTGAAAGCAGCGAAAATTACCATGAAAAACTTGAATTTATCTGAAAACAGCTGAAATTAGCTTAAAATGCTAAAAAGCTAGCTGAAAAGGTAGAACAAGCTTAAATAAGCAGAAGAAAGCAGAAAGAACATGTTTGCCCAATTAGGCTGAAAGAAGCAGAAATGAGCAGAAAAAAGAGGAAATTATCTGAAAAAAAGTTAAATAAGCGCACACCAAAAAACAGCTGAAAAGCAGCTAAAAAAAATCAGAAAGGAGCTTAAATTACCAATAGTAAGTGGAGAGAGCACATTTTTGCTGAATTAGGCTGAAAAAATTGAAATTGGTGCAAAAATGTGGAATTAGCTGAAAAAACTAATTAGCATAAAACAGCTAAATAGTAGCTGAATTGTAGAAAAAGCTGAAACTTGCAGAAATAAGCTGAGAGGATCATAATAAACAGAAATTAGCAGAAAGAAGTTAGAAAAAGCACAAAAATGGTGTAGTTAGCAGAAAGAATCTGAAAGGAGCTCAGAACAGTTGAAAATTTGCTGAAAGTAGTTGAAAAAACGTTTAAATTTGCACAAGGAAGCTGAAAGAAGCTGAACTGGAACAAAATGTGAAAGGAGCAGTGCAAGGTTATAAACAGATCTAAAGATTTGATGTAAAATGAGCTCAGGTCATTTTCTATGACAAAACAAGTGGCAGAAAAGGCTAAATATTTCAAAAAGCTAAAGTTGCACCAATACCAAAAGTCACAGCTGGATTGTCCTGAAAGAGCTGAATGTTTTGATACATGATTTGTTGAAAGAGCTTGAAAACTGGGGGACAAGAATCGCGCCGAAAAACATACAGAAGAAAAATGGATCACAACAGTGTGAATGCTTCATAAACGTTCTCACAACTGAAGAGCTGTTCCTGATGATGCTTCAGCTGAGCTCACCAGGAAAGCACGATGGCTCGTATCTGCTGATTAAACAGCAGCACATTCCCCACTGAGCTGCTGCAGCATGTCAGATAGGACATTCTGCATCGGACCGTAGCTAAAAAGGTTAAACTCCTAAACATTTCTGAGGCATCAGAGGTGCTCTTAGAACCCTTCTGTCATATCTACATGTTTAGTTTCATGAAAACTACCTTTCCTTGATGAATTTACTTGTCATTTTCAGAAACTGCTAGTCTCTCTCAGCTTGTCTCACGCTCAGTCATCCACAAATCTCAAATGCTTTCGCTTCTCTTGTAAAACGGATGAAACTCTTGTGACATTAACAGACCAGACAGTGCCAAGCTTGCGGGACCATTCAGTTCACATGACAGTTTTGTCGTCTCTGTTGTAAAAAGATAAATACAAAAGAAGCATTTGGTACCACTTTGTGAAGATGAAGTAGCAAACTGTCTATAAAGCTTCCTGTGTTCCTCTTTTAGACAGCTCGTGCCTCGGCTCACTGAGCTGCAGGTGGAAGGGAAAGATGTGCATCAGCACAGCTCGAAGCAGATTATCTGCAGATGTAATTCTTCCTTCTTACAATCTGCCTCATTCTTCTTTTTTACTTTGAAAGGAAATTACTCCTTAGCTTTAGATCAGCCCCTCAAGTGTGAAACACACTGAGTCAGCATCACTGTGTGTGTGTGGTGTGTGTGTGTGTGTGTGGGGGGGGGGGGGGGGGTCACAGACATTACAGCAAAGTCCCCACTTTCAGTCAAAACATTTGCTGAGGTGATAAAATAAAATGTAGAATCCTGAAGCAGTAATAATGTCCATATGATTCAGGTTAAATGTTAATTAGTTATAAACAACAAGTGATTTCCTTCCGACTGACAGGCTTGTTTTTCCTCACAGTCCAAGCTGCCGGGTGATGAATCTGCTGCGGACACGGCTGCTGCTAATGGATCAGCGTTACTGAGGTAACCGCACTGACAAATGAGAAGCTCTGCTGATTGTTTTGGTTTGACTGTGACGATTTTCAATAATTAAACTCTGTTAATAATTGGTTCGTTATTCATGCTCCTTTAAAAAAAAAAAAAAAAAAAACTGCTGCTATTGTGAGCGCATGGCCTAACTACTCCCGCATTAATGCTTCTGGTTAAAGGATCAAATCCACATTAAAACTGGAGGTCCCGGACTGCAACGAAACTGACAGTCAGGAGGAGAAAAGTCAGTTTGATGCCCCACTTTTCTGTACTCGCTCCGAGCTTGGTCACATGACCAGGAAGAACTGGACCTATCTGAGCAACGAGGTTTGTAGTTTGTTTTTATTTTTAAATGTTGCAATTTGTATTTAAAAACATTACATTTTCCGGCGTATACGTCTCTCTGGAGTATAAGTCACATCAGTCAAATAATCATCATGAAGAGGAAAAAAACATATATAAGTCGCTTCAGCGCATAAGTCACATTTATTATGCGTTTATTTAATGGTCAAAAGAGCTTCATTTCACCTGGGCAGCGCCATTCATCCATCCGTTGTGGCTGGAGCTGCTAGCTCTCCAACGTTCCTCCGCCTGCACCAGCTGAGTGAAAAGAGCGTGCCCGAGAGGACTCACTGCTGCAGTTCTTAGACATTTAAAGCATCAGTCAAAAATTGCGTTATGATTATATAAAAAAAACTTATATAATTTGCTTCAGCGTATAAGTCGCAGGACTGACAACTCTATGCAAAAAAACTGTGAATTATACGCCGGAAAATATGGTACTTGTTTTAAATAAAAGCTAAGCTAGCATCTTTGTTATATTCTATTGTTTTCTCTTGACTCAGACTCCAGAGATCATGGGCACTTGTAAAACCTGGGATGGTCCCAGTGGCTCTCACGGCAGCTCGGTTACACCTCAGCCGGACCTTGAATTTGTGCAGCGGAGCTACACTGCTCCAGATCGCACCGGTATTCGTATCTACTACAGCCCTCCAGCTGTGAGACGCATGGAGCACTGGAGCAGGAACCAGGAGGCCACAAACCCTCATCACATCCAAACTGGGATGGAACACAATGACACAGACACTGGTTTGGCAGAACTGAACGCCGCTGACAGTCAGCACCAACAACCCGCGTCCTTTTTTACTTCCTCCTATGAGCAATGGCTGGGCTCGCTGTCTAAGCAGCACCGAGAGCTGCTGGAGAGCAGAAATAGCTGCATTTCCAGTTCCATGCCCAGTATTTTTATAAACAACGTGAGCAGTGGGAATGCTAGCAGGGTGGTTGATGGGATGACGTCCGCTTCTCCGTTCCACAACCTGGAGATTGGAGAGATCTCAGCCAACTTAAGTGACGACATGAAGGAAATGACCAACTGCGTCCGTCAGGCCATTCGCTCCTCCTCTCTGGAGAGAAAATCCAGCAAGGAACCTGGGAATCAGGTACTGCTTTTCTTTATCATTCTTACTGGGAGCATGTTAAACTAGAGAAATTGCATTTCCTGTAAAAAGACAGTGTGAATACCTATTGCTGAAGAATCTGCTGAAAAACAGCTGAGCTTAGCTACAAACATGCTGAAATGGAACTGAAATGGAAGAAGATGCCTAAATTAGCAGAAGAAAGCAGCACGAACACATATTTGCTGAATTTGGTTTAAATAAGCAGAAATAAGCACAGAAATTAATAAACTATCTAAAAAAAAGGCTGAAGTTACAGTAGCAAGAAATAGCTGAAAAGTGGAGGAAACTGCAGAAAGAAGTTTAAATTACCAGAAGGAAGTGGACAGAGCACAATTAGGCTGAAAGAAGCAGAAATTAACACAAAAAAGTGGAAATGATGTGAAAAACAAACGAAATGTGCAAAAATCAGCTGAAAGGTAGCTAAAAAATAGCAAAAAAGAAGCTTAAATTACCAGAAGGAAGTTGAGAGAGCACATTTTTGCTGAATTAGGCTGGAAAAGGTTGAAACGAGCAAAAATTGTGGAATTAGCTGAAAAAGTTAGTTAGCATAAAAACGGCTAAATAGTAGCTGAAATAGCAGAAAAAGCTGAAATTAGCAGAAATGAGCTGAACGGAGCATAACAAGCTGAAATTAGCTGAAAGCAGTTAGAAGAAGCACAAAAATTTGGTTGTTAGAAGCTTTTGCAAAGAGCGCAAATCAGCTGAATAAAAACAGCTGAAATTATCTGAAAGTAGCTGGAAAAAAGTTTAAATTTGCACAAGGAAGCTGAAAGAAGTTAACCAGAAAAAAATGTGAAAGGAGCAATAAAATATTGTAAACAGATCTAAAGATTTGAAGGATGTAAAATGAGCTCAATTAATTTTATATGAGACAAAAAGTGGCAGAAAAGGCAAAATATTTCAAAAGCTAAAGTTTCACCAATACCAAAAGTCATAGCACCCTTCTGAATGAGCTAAACGTTTTTGATATATGATTTGTTGAAATAGCACAAAAATTGTGGAATGAAAAAAGATGCCAAAAAACGTACGGAAGAAAAATCTCAATAGTGTGAGTGTGTCATAAACATTCACAATATTCTTGTAAATACATTTTTGCATCTAATCCATTCTGATTCTTTATTCCATCCAGCCCATTGGTGTGTGCACCAGATCCACACAGACTGCTGCTCAGTCCGTCAGCATCGGGCTTCAAACCGAGACCTTTCCCAGCAGCAGGACAGGACTCCACTCCAAAGCTTGGTCTCCTCGTCCTTCATCAACAGCCTCCTCCTCGCTGGCGTCGGCCCGAACTCGGCAGATTTCAACATCTCTGGACAAAGTTCACAGCCGCATTGAGAGACCATGCTGCTCACCCAAGTATGGATCTCCAAAACTACAACGCAGGGTGTCATCCGGTAAATGCTCTTTTATTAGCATCTCATAAACGTCCTTCATACGTTTCAGAGCTTTTTGAACAGTGAAAAAGACCAACTTTTTTTTTCAGGCTCCACCTCCAGACTGGACGCGACGTCCTCCAACAGGGACCGCAGCTTGTGGAGCCTGCAGCAGAGACCCATTAGTGGAGGTGGGGGGTCTGCGTGGGCTCGCTCCACCACCACCAGGGACAGCCCTGTCCTGAACGGCCTCACCGATGGCCTCTCCAGCCTTTTCAGTGTGGTGGAGCACTCTGGAAGCACAGAGTCACTGTGGAGGGGTGAAATGGGTAAGATCATGTGTTTATTTATTTAACCTTTATTTACACAGCTAGCTCAATGAGTCACGAGGACTCATTGTCAAGAGAGACCTGTTTGGGAACAGATGGTGGGGTGAAAGAGCCTTGCGATCCTCTGCAATCCTGTGAAATGTTCATTTATTAACAGAAGGGTTTCTGACACTCAAACAGAAGATCCACTGCCGCGGCCACGTTCTGCACGTTTGGTCCTGTAATTGTGAGGCAGCCAGTGGAAAACACCTGCACTGTAGCCTTCAGACCGCAAGCACATTCACAACCTTGAAAGCTGAAAACCTCATTTTGAATTCAAGTTTCTGTAGATGGCGAGTTAAACTGCGAGCGCCCAACTTTGCTTCATCCTCACTTGTTGCTCCATGTTCAGGCTGATGTTTAATACACCCTATTATATTATTTTATTATTGTTTAGCGTATATCTTAGATCCTTGTATACCATTTTTTATTTTATTTTTTAGTTTATATTTTTGCCATTTTGGGGGGTACAGTAGTCCCTCGCCTCTTCGCGGTTCGCTTATCGTGGTTTTTCAAATTAAGACTGGACATAACACACAATTGGCTGATTGATGGATGAGCCGCATGATCAGCATGGAATTTTTATTTAAAATAAATTATTTTAAATTATTTAAAATTATTTAGCACCTCCTACAGGATAAACTTCCTGCTGCAGCTGATCAGCTGTTCTCCATGCAGAGCAGAGAAGTGGGCGTGGCCAAGATCACTTGCAGGTGGCAAAGAGCAGACAAGGAAGGGAGCTGAAATCATGACATTCTGTGCTCTTTTATAGCGTTTAGGGTTTAGAAACATTGTTTAGAATATTGCAAGACTGTGGGAAGGGTTTAAAGTGCCTTTACATATATATGTATATATATATATTTATATAATAAAAATAAACTACTACTTACTACTTGTACTAATATTCCTACTTCGTGGTTTTTCACTTATCACGGGTCTTCAGAGTATGGATCCCCCATGATGAACAAGGGACTACAGTAACTGGGATCTTGAGTACACAATTTCATTCCACCTCATGTACCACATGTGATGCGAATGACAGTAAAATCACCTTGAACCTTGCTCAAGGGCAATGAGTGGGGCCAAATGAAAGTGGAGGCTGGTGCGGTTGTTTCACCCTTTCCACCCACATTTGATGTTGTCAGTCGAACCGGCGACCTTCCGAACACAGGCCCACCTTTTCTAACCTCTGCGCCACCACTCTCCAATCAGTAACTGAAAAAAATATATATATTTGGTAAAACTTTTCTTATAAAAGTCTTCAAATCTATACTTTTTAACTGTAAATCCACTTTACTACTCCTTGTTAATATTCCTAAATGCAGATTAATGTATTTGATCAATAGAGCACATAT